GGTCAGGTCACGTCAGGTCAGGCTAGGTTTGCTTTGGTTTGGGGCAGAAAGAAGCATCTCCGAGTAGCGCCTCTCCTTGGTTGCTAAAACGAAACACGCGAGTGCCAGACATTACGAAGTCCAAAAGACAGATACGTAGACGTCGGCCCATTCTAGATTTTTTATATGATGTAGCTAATGTATAGGAGAATAAAATATGTAAAAATCAGCAAAATCGAAGGGTACCCATTTTTCAGAAAATCAAAATTTATATTTTGAATTTTAATTTAGTTCATTAATTAGCTAATTACGTCAATATCGTTATCCTCAAATTAAAGCCTGATCTATTCCCTCCATTTCACACTTTGTCTCATGGTGATATGTCTAAAAATTCAATGGTTATGACGCTTTAAAGATGATAATGTGCCTTCTCTAAGTCAATGTTTGATGACGTGTATCTCGGAAACGTGACGTCATATCTTGACAAAAACATGTCTCCTTTCTTTTCACATATAGATGAGTAGTTTCACAAAGTTTCGCAAAAATCGGAGGAGGTGAGGTTCAAAATGGTCATTTTTTGTCTCACTTGACGTGGAATGCCCCTATGTAATCGTACGGCGTACCTATCCTTACGCGTGAAAGTTCACATTGATAACGCAAGACCCGTTGAACGTTGCATTCGGGAGCAGTGACGACAGAGCTGTTCTCGCCGTTACCAGTTGCTGGCTTTGACGTACTTCCGATGGGTCAGGCACCCGATGTTCCTGTTCGTTCATGTTCAACCAGTCATCCACTTCCATCCCACCGATGGTCAGATTAAAGTTGGGCTTTTCTTCGCACAACCGTCGTGAGGTAGCAGGCCCTCCGTTCTGTATCACCGTGGCGCTGCACCCTGGGACTACACTTGCGGCTGTGTCGGATTGCCTAGTCATCGTTTGTGCCAATATCTCAGAGCAACGCCTTTTTTGAGGAACTGTCATGTCGTCAATGTAATGTGAAAGGCTTGCGGTCCTTTTGTGTTTTGTTACTTTAACGATATCTTCAGCTGCCACTCCAGCTTGATGCAATGTCGTGACGGTGGTGGCACGAACGCTATGACATGTATAGCGTTGTGATAGCTTAGCGCTATCAGCTATCCTCTGCATGATTGTTGACAGGCTGTTCTTCCCCATTGCTTCGTTTCTGAACCAACATTCATCTTGCGTCCATGCTCTCTTTGGTGTTTGGAACAGCCTATCACTATCATGATTGATCTTTTGCTGGTACATCTTGAAAACTTCTACACCAGGCCCGTACATCCTCTGATCAGAAAAGTCTACATCTCCCTGCTTGCTTCCACCCTGATGGTTTTTTGTTGCTTCAGTTTTCGAAATAGTGACATATTCCTTTCCGTCTGGGTCTTCTCTGACGACGAAATGATCTTTCCTCATCTGAGCCCAACCTTCTCGACCTCTTCTCCCGAAGAAAAAGCAGAGATAGAACCATGTAGCCTGCAGGAGGATGGTTGGATTTGACGCGAAATCCGAGAGGTAGTCACCCAAGCGCTTCATATCGTCCTCTGTGATAGCAGCCTTATGCTGAGGCTTGGGGTTGCCTGCCTTTACGTACAGTTTGCAGCGAGCGTCAAAAATGTTGTTTGCTGCAATAAACTCTCTATCGGTTATGATGTTGATCGGTCTGCTATGTGGAGCGCTGGTCAGGCAGCGATGGATGGCCGCACGAATGCAGGTCAGTGTACTGGGCGTTAGAGTTTCCCCCGCTTTCTTCGCCTTCACTTCAGCGTAGAACCTTCTTAGTAAACTACACAGTTCTTCATGAGTAACTGTTCCAAAATCGCATGCACGGTCTCTCAATGCAAGCCATTCATTAACCCGCGCACCGACGGGGGTCTGCGCCAACTTAGTACCGACGGGGGGGGGGGGCGGATGACCGCCCCCCCCCTGAGATCTCGAGAACGAAGCAAGATAGCGACAAGCGGTAAACGGCATCGGATACGCACGGTCAAGATCTACAATTTTTACTAAGGTCATTTTCAGGTCAGGTCAAAGATGACGTCACAGGGGTCGAAAAAGTCAAAATGGCGGCGCTAAATATGGAGAGAGTTTTTCCCGAATAACTTTAGAATTAGTCAAGATAGGAACGAACTAAGGGCATCATCGTGATCCTCTCGTCAATCCGCATCGAATGATATATATGTTGACCTCGAAAGGTCAAGGTCAAAAGTTGACCTCAGGTCACGTGACCTCGAGGTCATCATGTATATCATTCGATGCGTCTTGACGAGCTGAACACAATGAGACCATCCACGCGTCTGTATCTTGTTCCTGTACGGAGTTATTGGCCAAAAACCTTTGGTGACCTTTGATGACGTCACATGACCTCACAGCTGCCCAACAGCAAAACAGACCTCAAGGTAGTGAAGGTTGATCGTATATGAAGTCATGTATGGTATATGGGGCCATTCCGACCCGTTTTAGTGGTAAAAACAGGGAGTTGATTTTTCCCCCATTGACTTATAATGGGGAGGTCGCGAAATTGACCTGACCTTAGGTCACCGATATCAAAATTCCGAGATATACAAATTGTAGCTACTAATGACCTAATAACATCCTGCGACTTTCAAAGGCCTCCGACATCTACTGTAGCTCTGGCACGGTGACAAAGTTGCAAAAAAGTGACTTGAGGTTGGGTCATTCAAAGTGACCTGGTGACCTGACCTTGAAAGGTAGGAGGTTCAAACTTGCACACCATGTGTAAAATTGATAAGGGAATAGTCATACCAAATTTCGCGGCGCTACGCGCCGCGGTTTTTCCGCTATTTGCGAAAAACCTCAGGGGGGGGCGGATATCCGCCCCCCCCGTCGGTGCGCGGGTTAAATTTCTTCATCCCATACTGAGTGGCCTTCGATGTGTTGTCAGGTACAACACTTCTTTCCAGCTCTATTAATTCACGCTCCGTTATTTCGCTATCCATCTGGCGTTTCCACGCGCAAAGGAGACAGAGCTATTATTACCTCAGAAGCTAAACCGAAAATGATGCACCGTTCGCTCTGACCTGCCTTATATACTCTAGTGGTGAGTGCTCGCCCTAAATTCCCGAAAAGTCACGTGCTTAACAATAACAGTATTTTACATTCTCGCGCACTACGAACTTGCTGACCGACCTCCAGAAGATTTGACTACAGCGACTACAGCAAGCTATTGAGAAAATGGTTAATTATGAACTAGATAAGTGACAATAATACAAATAACGTGACTTTTGTCGGGCGATATGAGTTTTGAACGGCCCTTCACCATTATCAGAAGCCCTTCATGATACTTAGCGTCCCTCGCTACGCTCGGGCCGCTCAGCATCATGTCGGGCTTCTGATAATGGTGTCGGGCCGTTCAAAACTCATATCGCCCTCCAAAGTCACGTTATTGTACTATTATATAGCTTCATCTAAAGTTCATAGGCCCAGTTACGACAAACATAAGTTTGGATTCATGAGGTTACGACCCGCCGTTTCGGCTGCCAGTGCTCAGTTACTGCGCAGTAGCTGAGGTAATTTTGCTCATGGCCGACAGCCAAGCATATCATGATAGATATTTCAACCGTGACATACCTACCTAACAAAACTTGCAATGAGTTCCAGATAAGAGAAAGGAAAAATCGTATTAGCATCAGTTACCTTATGTGTTACCATTCTATACGTTTTCAAATTAATATTGCTCTTGGAATTCATGTCACTTTTATTCCTGCATTGATAAACGGGAATATTGGAGGATTAAAAATATTAAAACAAGGAAAATCTATTTTCTTCAGATTGTAACGACAGATAATTATCGAGGAGCCATTTATGTTGCAGAGTTTTCACATGACGGTTTCAAGGCTGCAGTCGCGATGCGTCATACAAAAATACGAAAACATCACTCCAACGAGTTGATACCAAAATGGCTGCCATTTGAGCGGCAAACGGGTCTATCGGCCCAAGTCTGTAAAAAAGAAAACACTTCCTCATCAATTCGGTGCCACTTGCCAAATGCCGAGAAAAAAAGAAAACAACAGTCAGGTATTTCCGCTCCAAGAAACTAGATAAGGAAAATAAAGTTACCCGTCCATCGGGTCGCCGCCCAGAGAACTTTCTCGAGCCGCGCAGCTTTACCCCACAATGGCCGACGGCGGCGGCCAAATACATTATTTCTGCAGCCGAGCGGCGGGGCAACGGCCGCCCCGCCGACCTTCAGCCTCTCCGCCAAAACTTCTAAATCAATTTGCGGCGCCGCGATGGCGGGCCGGCCGGCCGCCGCGCCGCCAGCGCCACCGCCGCCCTAGCCGATCATCATTTTCCGTCCAAATCGGCGGCTCGGCGGCGCGGCCCGCCGTCGCGGAGGTACGGCCGGCCGGCCGGCAGGTCAGCCGCCGCGCCCGCCAGCCAGGCCGGCCGCCCAGTGCAAACTCGCTGGCACCGCGCCAAAATTGCACCCCGCCAAACCAGCGCAACGCTCGATTTGCATCAGCCGCGGAATAATCACGAAAATCGGCCCGGCACAACGACCGCATATTAGATGATGCAGACGCCACTTACGGCGCTTCATAAAGTCGTGCAACATTTTACGGCGCGGCTCCATTCCTAGCGTCAAAAAAGCCTGGGGAGGCGACTTCGTGCAGGGCCGGGTGCCCGACGGAGAGTCGGCGGCGGCCGGCCGGCGGGCACAGAAAGGAGCCGGGATGGGTCAGCCAGGGGAGAGACAAGAACGGACACAGCTCAGCTCAGCTCAGCTCACGGAGCGACATGAAAGGGGCTGTCTTTCCGGCTCAGCCAACGAAGGCACAGCAGGATGGGCCAACCGTCGGAGACAGGAAGGTACCCAGCAAAGCTGAAGGACAGTCAGAAAAGTTCGAACTTAATAAATTGGGTGTATCAGGCATCAGCCGACAAAGAGAAAAGGGATTGAATTGCATCGTCAAACGAAGTAACACAGGAAAGGGCCGGGGCGAGTCCGGCGCCTCGCCGGCCGCCGGCAGTATGTTGACCCACCTGGGATATGTTGATCTCGCCCTGGTACATGAACTCCACAATGGCCTTGATGTCCTCATATTTGATATCCTTGAGGATGACCAGCGGCGCCTTGTCCGGGTGCATGGTGAAGAGGTGCTCGAAGTAGGAGCTGCAGGCGGACAGAACCAGCTGCGGACGGCGCGAGGCGGGCGGCGTCAGACGTGGGGCGAAGCGACCCACATCGCATTCAGTTCAGTCACATACACAAATATAAAAGCTATATAGACATAGGCATAGACATAGACAAAGACATAGACAGACAGACAGACAGACGGACAGACAGACAGACAGACAGACAGACAAACAGACAGACAGACAGACAGGCAGGCAGACAGATAGACATACATACATACATACATACATACATACATACATACAGACAGACAGACAGACAGACAGACAGACAGACAGACAGACAGACAGACAGACAGACAGACAGACAGACAGACAGACAGACAGACAGACAGACAGACAGACAGAGATGGAATTCGTTGTCGGTGCAGCCAGTGCACATTGCAAAACTTGTCAACAGGCAATATGACAAACAAGAAACTGAGCACGGACTCCGTTGGTTATATGTCGCAGCAAAAATATTTCCGAAATAGAACAGAACGTAAATAGCAGTCAGTAACCTTAACTAAGTGGTGCATCTGTTGCAAGCAACAAATGACTGTGCATAAGATCGGATCACGTCGCGTCAGACATCAGTACGTCTAATGAAGGTCGATATAGCCTTGAACAGTGTTCACAACGTTTCTAGCACACAAGCGTCTCAGAAACCCTGCTGTTGCACTTCTCGCTTTATCTCGCTTTTATTGACTGACTGGACTGTTTCTTTTTCATACGAGTAAAAATGAGTTAGTGTTTGAATTATCCAGAGGCCAACTTCGGCTCATTCTTTATTCTTTGCTTCATAACAAAAAAGACACAATAGGCGCAGCATTTTTTAGTTTAATCAGAAGAAAAAAATGGCAAATAAGATATACGAAAACAACATTCCAAACATCATAAGTCATACAAGAAACTAATTTATGAGAAAAATCTTGCGAGAAAACCGTTAAGCAATGAGCCAATAATTCAGCCCCGCATAGTGCACACAGATCGTGAGTATCGCTATCGGACGGTCACGCAGGTCTTCTAGCTCGCTCTGAAGTAGGTCGAACTTCAGAGCGCCCCCGAGGGAGAGCCTTTAATCACATAGGTATGTCTGATGTACAATCGTCAGACATATGTGATTGTATGTATGCTTCAAAGGACTATCCGACTGAACTGACGTTTCGGCTCCTACGCCGTGTCCCTCTCTCCTTCAGGCAGTCATTTCCACGACTTGAATTCACACTGGCCACTACCAGAGGTTGTCCTTGGGATAAGCACCTCCCCAGAGGACCTTGTACTATTCTCTTTTCCACTCTCATGCAAGAAAAAGATTGCATGGTATGAAAGGTATGACCAATATCAAATACACTGCCTTTATCCACAGGTTGTTTTGATTTATGACCAGTAACATATTACCCAATTGTTACCTTCAAACCCCTTCCCCTTCAAACACCGCAACAATGAAGATTAAACACCAGTCCTTGTCGGTTCGCTTTAATTTTGGTATGGCAGTCACGCAAAGAAGGGGTCTTAGAACTTCAACTTCAACAATATCAGTAGCGGCGGAACACCTTCAATTAAGGGGGGGGGGGGCACTGCCGACTTTTGGTCCCATTCTTTCCATGCAACGCCCATAGGGCTAATGTTAAAATGCTTAAATCAAGGGGCACGGTGCCCCCGTGCCCTCCCCGTTCCGCCGCCTATGAACAATATGCCATCTTTCTTGGTGCTAAACTCAAGCTATTCGGTACTTCATAAAAAAGAGCATGTATTACTTTTACGTACTTACTACTTAACACACCAATATGGAGATCCAAAGGCTAAAAAGCGACTATGAAGCAAGCCCACTTTCCTATATTGCTATTTAAATATAGGCATGCACCTGCATGATGCAGGCCAGTTCATTTTTTGGGATTATTTCTTTAAAAAAAAAACACACATTGGCGCAAAGGCAAACCGGCCCTCCCTGTGTGCCACATTTTATAAATCACAAGTCGTGGGCCGTTTTCTCGGCTGGTATTTTCTTTACGCCGGCGGTTATTTTTCGCGTGGGAGATGAAACTCCTGGCTGATTTTCAGGCCAAAAATAGCTGCAGCCGGCGATTTTCACCCGACTATGAGGTTTGAGCGCAAGTAAGCCAAAACACTGCTGCTGCTCTTGCCCTTGCTGTTAGCCTATAGCTGCTCCTGGCAGAAGACAATTGGTTAGAAAATTACGCGAATTTGGAGCGGCATCCACAAAAGAAGTGCAGCCTATCACCCGGATGGAGATATCGAATTCGAGCTCGACAAGGACAAACACGATTCTGCTAATTCAAATTTATGACTGATTTATGGCGCCTACATTATTTGCCATTACCACTTCCATGCACAGCACAGCGCTGTGTGAAATAAAGATTTTCCTGATTCAGAAACTGGCATGCATATAGTCCAGCTTAGTCGTAAAGTGACATTTTCCTGGACAGAAATTATAGGATATCGAGATAAAAGATCACCACACAGACATAGCCTTGATAGTGCGAACCACTTTTGGTGTTCGTTTGCCTGTCTAGGGCGGAGCGGCGGGGTCTGGCTGCTCGCTGCGGCCTCTGTGGCTGGTATTGGCTGACCCCGGGCACAGCAGGACTCCGGCCACAGCACACAGGCTACCAAACGGCGGTCAACGAGTGCCACGGGACGATACCACATATCAGCCACATTCCGAGTCAGTCGGAGCACCCCACAATTACAAGCTCGACAGTGACAAAAGGACCCACTCTAAGAGCACTACCTATAACGGAATCACGTTTTACCTTAGCTTTCCTAAATAGGCATAATGGGAAAAAAAATATTCAAGTGTGCCTTTGATAAAAGGCGTTAACATAAAAGAGCATGTCGCTGTAACGAAGCCCCACAGGAAGTGGTGTTTGCCGCAAACTTTGTGTAGCCGGATGTAGCGCGCGACGCGGCCGGCGGCGCAGTACAGGTTTGGGGATCGGCTGCCCGGCCGAGGCGCTAATGCCCCGGCCATCCGGCAGTGACCGCGCCGCGCCGCGTCCAGAACACGCCGGCAGCATCACACTGACCCATCAAATCCAGTACTGGAGTGAAGTATTTATATATGTACATGGATACAAGTACATGGATACATATATTACATATAATTTATTTAATAATTTAGCTAATATATTACTCCGAAAAAAAAAATCAATCGAGGTGAAGTCATCAATGAAGAAACATTTAGGCACGATATCCATCATCACAAAATAACAAATGATATAAAGAGCAGACAAAGCGTCGAAGGAGCGCCAGCGCCCAGTCCCTTCGACCAGACAAATATGGGAATCTTGAAAAGCTTATTGCAGACATATCTGCAATTGTTAATATTAAATTAAGCTTGCTCTTTGTGCGCACGCTAGACGTTCCAACTGGTATGGCAAGCGATAATAATGATCAAAGGTGACGCAATACGAAAGCCCGCACAATGGCCGAATGCAGGACCGGCTGACGCCAGTTCACCACACAAAAAAAAAAAAAAACGTTAGGAAAAGATACATGGTTTGTAAGAAACCAGACACCAAAAGCGCACATTAAATTTTGGTATCAGGCACTGCTCTTTCCTGTTCCTGCAAAGTCAAGGAAAAAGATTAAGCTTTTCAGTTTTGCCGGTTCAAAACACGAGACATTCTGCTGAATTAGTGAAGCAAAGCCGACCTTACAGCAATCAAACTAGATATCATCAATGACCTCGCTAGAAAAAAAATCAGGCGAGTTTCACGTCGCTGAGACACCGAGACTGCCTTTGTTGCAGTAAGTCGCAATGAAAAGAAACAAAGCTCAACTTCATCAATTCAAATGAGGTGACAATTTGCCTGGAAAAGGACTGGTAATGATACCCCATGTTCGTTATAATTGTTCGTTTAGTTGCGCTCCGCGAGATCAGAAGGATCATAATGTCCGATCGATCGTTCGTCGGCACTTGCAAGAGAGCCTACAGGAAATGTTCGGAATGAAGTTTAATAGCAAAAATAATTGGATATATTCTTCATAATGCTGGCTGAGCCTCCGCCTGGTCTCGATCGAGCGCTGTTGACGCTGCGTCGTTCGGGGGCAGCGCAGCGTCGTTCGAGCCCTCACGGGAACGGCCGGGAGTGGGACCCGTCCCGTCTCAACCCTCCTGGCACAAGGGGGCAGGGTCCATACAGCACACACGTGCGCCGGCGCGGAGCGGCGTCTGATAGTACTCGCCATACCTCGATACAACGAACAGCTGCATTCAACCTTCAGAGCACAACCCCAGTCGGGCCTTACGACTTACGAGAGATATCAGAATCCTTTGTCTGACAGACTGCCCAAAGCTTTCCATATAACTAAAGATGCATTGATAAGCTGACCACAGGTACAGCCCACCGCTAAAGTAATGTAGGGTTTTACCAATCTCAACGGTTGGCTTTGACTGACGATTGTTTAATGCGGAGTGATTTAAAAGAAGATGTCAATAGCTGAAGTTGCAGCTGCAAGGGTGACGATACCTATAAGCTACATTCAAAGTTTCATTGTAGTCTGGCTAATCGTTCCTAAGCTTCAGAAGCAGAACATACCCATGACTGAAACCCCACATTACTTCTGCTGTGGACTGTACCTGTGTCACCAACAAAGACGTTCAACGGGTCTCATAGTCTCCGACTCGAGTCGGTCTAAAGGGAACTGTTATCATGCAGTCGAGCAGGCTAGACAGAGGTGGCATAGCGGCCGCCATCCATATTGACAGGAAGCCTATAGCGCGAGTCAGTCCGGCGATCTTTGGCATAATTCCCGATGGTGATGTGGCAGAACCAAGTGGGACCCACGGTCGGTAGACTAAATATCTTCCCTCCGTACGCAGCATCAGAGGATAGGTAAACGCAGCAGACATGTGCTTGGATCCGGAAAAATGGATCTGAGATCGGATCCCATGGATCCCGATCCGAGATCCATTCAGATCATAGATCCAACCCCTCAATTTTGTCGAGAGATCTACTGGGATCATAGATCTGACCCTTCAATTTTGTCGC